GAAAGAAAAAGAGAAGGAGAAATAGATAGTACAAAACCCGGTCATAAGAAAACTAAGACAAGACAGGTGTCAAAAGATATCCAGGTCAAAGTACCTGACCGAAATCCAGGGAAATAGAAATTGTTATTTGAAAGAATAGAGTTTAGAAATAATAAAAAGAAAGAAAGGGAAAAGACATGACATCAAGACGGGCCGCAAGCGGATAGGCACATATCAATTGTCAAAATTATCAGGTCAAGCACTTGAACTAATTCCGTGTCTGCGTAGGATGGAAGTTTGTTAAAGTTGGCTGAAACAATAAGATTTTAAGAACAATGGAAAAAAGAAATATTAATAAGTGACAAACGAAAAGGGTGTCATTGAGTTGATAAGTGACCGCTGGAATTGTACACATTAGTATACAAATCCTGACCAGCTCTAGAGTTGAAGGTAAGGACCACCCAAAAATGATGAGTGGCAGATATTTTCAATTCAGATAATTAAAATTTTATTAACAGGCCTGAGTGAAAGAAAAGAGGTGAAAGCAATTGTTTTAGCTCACAGAGGGCGCCAGCAGGGCGAGAAAAATTCTTCCTGAAGTCACATCTAATTAGCGGCGGGCTAGTTTGACAAATACCACGTACGAAAAAGACAATTTGGATTTTGTTTTTTTTAGCAAGGTGTTTCTTCCCCAGAACAAAGCCCCGGATTGACCACGCCCGATTGGAGACGTCACGAAGGAGGGAGAGACGCCCGACCAGAATCTCATTGGCCGAGAGCGGTCACGTGATGTGCGACGAAAGGGGAAGGACGCTCGACCAGGATCCCATTGGTCGAAAGCGGTCACCTGACATACGAGAGACCAGGGGAAACGGGTATGCGCCTCCCCCCAGAGGCACTGTGAGGAAGTAGGAGTGAAAGTAAGAGCGATAATGGGAAATCAGGAATAATGCGACTTTTGAAATTATCAAGGAAACCCTGGCGCCGACAGACCCACCCCAGTTTGTTGCGGCGTCAATAAAAGCAGGACCCCAGTCGACAGAAATCAGTTGCAGCTGGACCGCGGACAGCGAGGGAGCTTGAACGCAGGCGTCTGGCCCGGTTCATTCGCCCCTTTGCGGGCAAGAGAATCCGGAGTGAAGAAATTCGTCTAGCCCAAGTCGAAGTGAAGAAAATTGCCCGAAAGCCTAAGAAGAGTTGGAGCTGCAGCCCGAAAGTCGATGAGAAGTTAAAGTTCAGCCCCGGACGGCAGAGAGAAGAGTTCAGCCCCGGACGGCAGAGAGAAGAGTTCAGCCCCGGACGACAGAGAGAAGAGTTCGGACCTTGGCGAGAAGAAGTTGCAGTTGGAGTTGGAATCACACCAAGCCTATGAAGAGAAATTCGTCCAAGACAAGTCGAAGTGAATAAATTCGTCCAAACCACACCTAAGAATAGAAATTCGTCCAACCCAAATCGAAGTGAAGAAATTCGTCCAACTCAAGCTGAAGAGAAGAAGTCGATTCGCACACTGACGGCGAGAAGAACCAGCCGTGAACGACAGGTAGAGATCAGCGCCCAGTGTCGAAACCAAACCACACCCCGACATGCAAATTTCTAGAGAGTAGGCAACTCGAAGTCTTTAAGTTGTATGGTAGAAGCTTGGTGCCACAGTCCACAAAACGGGTCGGGGAAGTAGGAATAATTTTTATGTAACGAACATTTAGATATAAAAAGGTTGTTACCCTTTTTATCAGTAATTTTTGGCCTCGTGAGTTTTTCTTTACTTGTGTGTTACTACCCCCGTCGAACTCAGCTTGCATACGGCCCCAATCCCTGTTTGATCCCGTCTGTCTAAGATCTGATCACAACGTGGGTAGGCAGACCGGAGATCAGTGCAGTTACCCTAGTAACCAGGCGTTGGAAGCGAGTTGGGAACGGCGAGGCTAGTAATCATCTAACCAAAGGGTTAGAACGTCACACTTGGAGCCGCGAACGAGATCGAACGACAGAGTCGACGCTGCGACCAGGGGGGGGGCGACGTCACAATCGGCTCCGCGACCAGGATCAACCCTGGACCAAGCGACGTCACATATATATATATATATATATGGTAGACTTTCTTATCCTGAATGAGGGTCAGCATTGGATGGTGCCTTTCTTTTTACACTTATGCATGATAGCAGGGGCTATTATGGAGGAAATCAGGTAAAGGAAAGACATATTTGATTTGTGCTTTCTTAAGTGTGATACTAGCCCAGCCTTACTGCGGGCGACAAAGCCACACTGACAGATGAAATTTGTTAAAGCAGGATTTTGATAGTTTCTCTGCTTCAGAACTTGACGAACCTGATCGCGGTACTCCAGTCTACTGTATTCAAAACCCTTTAACTTAATGAAACATGTCTTAAGCCACTCCTTTCGGTTCGATGCTTGGGCTTTCCAGGTTTTCAGAGCAAAGTTGAGACGTTTCAAGTTCTTTCAATTTGTTTTTGTGGCGTAAGAGTTGACGTCCACGTGAACGCTTGGAGTTTGGTAGCTGTCCATACAGCATCTTTTTTGGAAGCCTATTCTCATCCATTTTCACAACAGGACCAGGCCACATAAGTTTTATCTTTGCTAGAATGGTTTTAATGCATTTGATGTTGTTACACACACGCACATACGCACATACATATATTCAGTTTATACGTTATTTAATAGATATACATTTTATTTAAGAAAATGTTCTGTTTTTTTTAAATAAACACTATTAATTATATTTTCCGACTTGATTCTGTGCGAAATTTCGTAGAAAATATCATTTCTCCAATATATGCAAAATATACCAAAATATAGGTTTTGTCGGAGAAGGCATATTTTCTAGAGAAATTTCTCTGGTCAGTAAATGCAATTAATACTGTTTATTTACAAACAACAGCAAAAAAAGCATTTACTAAATTGTATGCATTAAAAAAACATATAGACAGAAAATATATTAAATACTTGTCGGAGTTAATCCATTTGATAACACACACAAACACACACACACATATATATATATATATGTGTGTGTGTGTATGTGTGTGTGTTTAATGTAAATCTATTTAAAGTTGGTGGGGGAAAAAACTTGGATAGTGCAATTTTCAAACAAATTGGCCTCCGACGAAAAACAAATTGAAAAATGAAAGGAGGAACCAGAAATCGTCCAGTACCTTAAATCTCTGGTACAAAGAAAAAAAAAACCCCGACGAATAATAATTTAAATACAGTAAGTAGAGCAACGGTAAAATAAATAAATACCAATGAGCCAGGTACTACTTACGTAGCTTTCACCACATGGGAGTCTTCAGGGTGAACTGACGATTATATATATATATATATATATATATATATATATATATATATATATATCATTTGAATATATTATTGAAACGCGTGTATTTGCTTTTTATGGTTCCATTTTAGACGGTGTACACAACAATTCTATTTTATTTATTAGGTCGGTGCAAAAATAATGACGTAATAATGTCGTTTTTAGACGTATTTTTTAAGGTCAAAAAACGACATTATTACGTCATTATTTTTGCACCAACCTAATATCTCGTGCTAGCTGTGCAGTGATTGGGCGATAATGAGGGGGCGATAACTCCTTACATTATTCTTTTTTTTCTTTCCTTTTTTTATTTTTGTTCCCTTTTCTTTGCTTCTAAATTCCTTCCAAATATAGTATTTGTAGTTGTTTTTTATTCTTTTTCTTGACTTTTTTAAAAATATTAATTTTTTTTATCACTCTTATTAATCCTGCCTGTTATAACTTTCTTTTCTTTCTATGTGATGTGTCCTTTCAGGACGCCGACGATCATGGCTCTCCACCTCATTCTCTCCCTTGCAGCTCTCTCCTAGCCCTCCTTCCTCATTATGTATCCCAGGAACTTCAGCTGCCTCTTCCTGATGCTATGGATAAGCCTCCTCCTTCTTTGCATCCTCCCTAAGACTTCATCGTTGCTCACACGTTTGGTCCATGATATCCGTAACATCCTTCTGTAGAACCACATATCTGTCACCTCGAATCTCTTCTTCGTCTTTGAGGCAATCGTCCGATATTCGCCGGCGTAAAGAAGGACATATGTCACGTAACAGCTCAGTTGTTTTTTCCTTCGTTACCAAAGAAATCCGCCTGTCTCGCAATACTCTGCCCAGCTTTTGGAATGTGTCCTTGGCCATCCCAATATGGCTACGGATCTCAGTGTCGCATTTACCTCCCTCTGTCAGAACGATTCCCAGATATTTAGACTTCCGAATCTGGTTGATTCTAGAGTTCCCGATCTTCAAATCGCATTTCGGGCTCATCCTTTTACTGATGACCATGCATTCTGTTTTCTTGTAGTTTATGCTTAGTCCTTTCTTCACACTATCCGTCGCTTCTTTCTTTCTTTCTTACTTTATTTCTTTCTGTGATAACACTGGCTGTATAAAGCGAGAGACATTATTAGTATTGTCGTTATGCCTTTGTTTTTATTATTTTTCGGGATGAAAGAATTCATGTTTTCTTCCGATTATTAAATAAAATAAATTAAAACTTGGCATAATTCAATCATTCGACGCGAGCAGTGTTTCTTAATGGTCGTCTTTACTTCAGAGTCCACTTGTAGAATAACTAAAACTCTTGGGCGCATTTTAAATTTTTCTAAGGAAAATTAACCAAGAAATTTAAAAATATGTAATTTTGGTTAAGAATTCCCAAAGAAGATTAGCGGTACAGTTTTCATTTAAAGGAATTTAAAAGAATCTGCTATTTCCTTAGAGAGAACAATAATGACTCCTTTAAATGCAGTGAGGAAAGCAAAAATAAAATGATTATCCACTCCATTTAGAATATAGTTTAAAATATCAAATGACAAAAACTTAGACAGGAATGCCGAGAATTTGGTGTCTGCAAATTTTTAAAAATGAAAATAATTTATAAATTACTCTTTTGTTAAATTGGAGTACACTGGGCTACTTGTCATGGTGAATAAGGAGCACCCTGGTGCACCGGTTGAGACCCAGGGAAGCTACGTCACTTCCGTTGGAAAGGAGCGCACCGGTTCACCGTTTGAAACAGAGAAGCTACGCCACGTCCGTTGGAAAGATGATCACCGGTGCACCGGTTGAGACACAGGGAAGCTACGTCACGTCCGTTGGAAAAGAGCGCCACAGTGCACCAGTTGAGACACAGGGAAGCTACGCCACGATCGTTGGAAAGGATCGCCCCGGTGCACCGGTTGAGACACAGGGAAGCTACGCCACGATCGTTGGAAAGGATCGCCCCGGTGCACCGGTTGAGACCCAGGGAAGCTACGCCACGAGCGTTGGAAAGGATCGCCCCGGTGCACCGGCTGAGACACAGAGAAGCTAGGTCTCGTCCGTTGGAAAGTGACTGAATTCGAGATGCCTGCTTAGTATGGAGAAAATCACTTGCCTTTCTTCTAATTTTGTCGTGAATCCCGAGATATATAGCCGGAGTCCAAACCAAATATGGCAGCAACATTCAATACATCGACGAACGGTAGATTTATAAAAGGACAAGATATTTTTCGATTAAAACGACTCAGGAACCCACATACTTAGGAGAAGCCCGATCAATTAATTCATTATAATCACTCTACTTCAAGTCAATTGAAAATTTGAGACCAAGAAAATGCAATCAATTGCTCTCTTGGAGGTTAGCATCAGCCATGCTGATGGTGGGCATAAATGATTCTCCCTGATGTTTCGCGATCTTTTGCGTAATTACTAGTAAATTGTAGCTATTAAAGATCAGGATATTTTTTTGGAACATTGTCTGCCTGAAGATCAATATTCAAAAGATTTTACCGTAATTTCCGATCTGTAATACTTTTTTTTTTTTTTTTTGTTTAAATAAAAAGCAAAATCAGGGGTGCGTATTATGCACAGCTACAAAAAAATCATCTAAAATTTACGGAAAATAAAATAAGAATAATCATAAAACTAAAGAAGAAGAATATTATTCTATGTTTAAAACAATTTTTAAATACGAGCCGGAAACGATGGCTGTAAAGAAATTGGATAGGTACAATATATAGGATTTGATACGAAGAAAAGGGTGCGCATTATGCATGAGTAGAAAAACTTTTCCACACATTCAGCATAGTTTTAGTTGTGCGCATTATGGATGAAGGTGTATTATACATGGGGAATTACGGTACTCATTTTATTTAGTTTATGCTCGTACAATTAGTTTTAAAAGAAAAACCTTGAATGTGAGAAAAATTTTCTTTGCCTTCCATAATTATGGCTGATGCTATCCCTCATGAGATTAAACCAATGCAACAGATCAGTCTAATGTTTTCAGCTTATATGAATTAGAATGATTATATCGAGCCACTTACTAAATCTGATGCTATGAACGTTCTTTCACTGTTTTACAGAGGACAATCTTTTTTACCCAGAATATATCTTGTATATAAGTCTGCCATATGAGCGCATGACTGAGTGGTTAGATTGTTCGTTTTCTGACCACGAGACCCCGGGTTCGAAACTCACCATGGTCGATTTGTCAGGGAGGTGACTTATGGTGTCATCAGTCAAGAGGAGTCGAAGCCAACGTGCGGCACACCACACCACAGGTTGACCAATTCATTGTGAGTGAAATTGGGTGGACGAATTTCCTTAAGAGCCGTCGGTGGTTGGGCTAGCGTGACCTCAAATGTAATCATGACCGAGAATTTGAGCGTGCTGGCCTTGTTCAGAATGTTGATTACGCTAGATAACGAGTACTCTCCCAGAAACTAGAACTAAGGTCAGCTCAGCATAAGTTGCAGAATAAACCACAGGTAGATTCTGTGCGTTTTGAACAAGCACAAATGTGCCTGAGTAGGCATCTTCAATGGGGATTAACTAGCCACCCTAGGAGACTGGCATCCACTGATTCGACTTTCTACGCTATTATTATTATTATTATCATTATTATTATCTTATTTATTATAAAACGCAGATTGTGTGTGTGTGTGTGTGTGTGTGTGTGTGTGTGCGTGTGTGCGTGTGTGTGTGCATTTATATATGGGATCGTATTTCCTACATCTTTCAACCGATTTCAACAAAACTTCACAGCACTACGTAAAATGACCTTGCGGTGGTTCTGACAGTGCCAAAAATTGGAAAAACACAATTGTTTTTGCACGAAAACAATTTGAAAATACGATTAAGAGGCATTAATGAAAGTGGGGTAACTCATATCGAGTTATACTTATTAATATCGAGTTATCAAGTTATACTTATTATAAAACCCAGGTTGGTTGTTTGTGTGTGTGTGTGTTCGTTTATATATGGGATCGGATTTCCTACATTTTTCAACCGATTTCAACAAAACTTCACTTTTTTGGGCAGGTAGTGTTTCTTATTGTCTTGCACACTTTTTTCTTTATTTTTACATTCAGAACTCTTCAAAAATTCCATTTGCAAGACACTTGTTTATAATAAAATTCTATTCAATCAGTAGACTCATAACGATTGAAAACAATGTTTTTGTTTGTGTTTGACCAATTCGTAAAATAAATAAATAAATAAATAAAACCAATTAAGACATGCCTGTCCGTCAACCTTAAACAATAATCTTTGTCAATTTTATTTTTCAGTCTTTATGATGGTCGATACTTGATCTATCTCTTACTGTTACATCCCCGGGCAACGCCGGGCTCTACTGCTAGTTATCTTATAAGTCTACAACTAGTCTAGCATAGAATATCGTTGCCCCATCAGGTCAGGTGCTTCTGCTCTGTATCATGTGATTATGGACAAAATCCAAAATAAAATCTGCAATAATATTGATCCAAACTGGGCATCTCGACTTCAGTCATTGTCCCACCGCTGTAACGTTGTAAAGGTTTTCATAGCGCTTTCCTCTTCAACACTTCAACTTCATGGATTGAAGTGGGGTGCTCGATTGGCAGATAGGTTTCAGGATTTCCCTGTTGAAATTGATAGTAGTAACCGTATGTTCTATACTAATAACTTCTTTTCGCGGACCTTCTCGCTTGCGGCACTGTCTTTCTGCTTCATGCTTTACGGGTAACAATAATCTTCAGAAAAATCTAAATGCAACATCAATCGTCACCTTCTGTCACCTTGAATTGACTCTTCTCCTCGGAACCGTTTTCGCATTTTCAGTCACTTTATTGTCTTTAACCCTCGGTAATCCCTTACATCTTAGTGACATTATCAACTTGCTTGAGATAAAATGTCTTGGATTTTGCTTTATTTTAAGTATTCGTTTACGCTGTTGGCAATGTTTTGCAGCTCCCTTGAAAAAAGACTGGAGTATAAATATAGGTTTCGCACTCTATCATAGCACACATTTTGATAACCGTAAAGTAGGCACATGCATTGCAGCCAAGAGTACGCGATATAGTGGCAGGTTCTTATATAAATATAGGTATCGAACCCTATCAGGACACACAGTTTGATAAAGGTATACCACGCACATGCATCACAGCCAACAATACGCGATATGCTGGCAGGTTGTGATAACAGCAGGGCATAATGTCACAGATTAGATATAAATTCAGGTCATGTAACACCGGTCTGTGGGCACATCGACGTAGTGTAATTGTTAGCAAGCTTCTCTACTAAATCCGTTACGACTGAATAGCGATTTTGATACTCAGTGGGTTTCCCCATACTTTTGGAGTTGTACCATATTTAAGCTACGCTTAGAAAATGAACATATAATCCGGCCCGTTCAGAAGGTCTTCAATTCTCAACCCCACAACTCCTTCTTCATGAACAGAGTTTCCCTGTTCTCTTCCGCGATGTGCCATGCTGTTTAATATCAGACGCAATTGATAAGCACATCTGCGGTAATAAACGCGATATTTATTGCAGCCCATCTTAATTCGCTAATACAAAGGATGCACCTATTAACGCCTCCAATCAATTATGCCCAAGAGCTACGTGACTCATACCTGGTTTAACGTCTGGCTTAAGATTTTATTATTTCCTTTGATTTCTGTTGTATACACATTTTCTTCCGGGTCTTAACAAAAGAACAAAGATCAGAAATGGCATCATGGCATTTTTCATTGTTCATTTTTGTAAAAGAAAAACAAAAGCTCTCATTGCACTCATTTTACAAAGATAAAACCATTTGTAAATTGTGAGCTGTATTTTGCGAAATACTTTTTTGTTATTTATTTAAGGCATTGCCTACCAGTGATCCCTTTAATTAGTATATCCGAAACTTTTTCCAAACAAATCTGAGGGCTCCAACTACAACTGAAATTATTATTATTATTATTATTATTATTATTGTAACGTTGGGTTTCTGTTTTATACACATTTCCTTCCAGATCCCAAACTGAGACCTAAGGTCAGAAATGGCTTCACGACATTTTCCACTGGTCATTGAAAAAAAATACCTAAGATCACACATATTTGACATAGATGAAGCTCTTCGTAATATGTGGACTGTACCTGTGTGTAAAATTTTGTGCATTTCTTTAAGGGATGGGCTACCAGGAATCCCTTCACTAAGTCTACCGGAAGCTTTTTTCAATGCAGCCGATGGTTTCAGCTACAACTGGTATTGATGACCTCATATACCACATTTTTTTTCGATTTCCAATTCAAGATCCTTTTATTTTGTTACTTTTTCTTAAAGATATTCAAATAGGCAGTCTGTAGGGAGTGATATGTCGGTAAAAAAAGCAGATTGCTTTTTTGGTCATTGATCACAATGTCTGGGCAAATTAGCATTGATTGTTCAGTCCGTATGTATTTTAAAATCCCATTAAATTGTTACAGGCCCTGTCTCTGTAACTGGGTCTGGGTGATGTTCATACCAGTTTTTTCTGGCAGTTTCCTTCCCATAAAAGGTGCAGATTTCCCATTGCAGATTTTCCGTTGCAAATATTGGCTCACTCTATCATGCTGCGTTTTATATTATGTGGTTGCTAAAATTTACAACCGGATACAAGATGGTCAATTGTTTCTGGATATTTTATCACAGAATCTGGATTTGGGGTCAGCACAATCATTCAGTATGCGCGCTTGGTAATTTCTAATTAGCAAGTATTGGTCCTGTGTACCAAAAATAAAACCTGACCTTTTAAGCCTACACATCGTAACTACTGATGGTTACAGGATTTGTTTACACCAAATTATTTGACACTGGCAGTTTATTAACAGTTATCTTGGCATCGATTCTGCATTTGGTAAATTGCATTTGCTTTCTTTTATAGATTCTTTACTAGGTGTAGGTGTATTATGGTTTATTTGCACTTCTTCACACACTTGAAATATCGTTTCGAATTTGCTGACCTCCTTTATTACTGTATACAATATCTTATTTCTTTCCCGTCCTGGATAAGACGATAAACTACATCCGCGTCCTGGGTAAAACGATAAACTACATCCGCGTCCTGGTTAAGACAATAAACTACATCCGCGTCCTGGGTAAGATGATAAACTACATCCGCGTCCTGGGTAAGACGATAAACTACATCCGCGTCCTGGGTAATATGATAAACTAGATCCGCGTCTTGGGTAAGACGATAAACTACGTCCAACAGCAAGGTCTCTGATCAGAAAGTTTTGAAGAGCGTGGAACCACTTCTTAATTACTAGTGTTCCCAGATCCACCCTAACCCTGGGTGGTAGCACCTTTTAGGGTCCCAACTATGGGCAAATATTTGACCCCCAACCTGATTCAAAACACTATGAAAATGTAAAAATAGGTTTTAATACCAGAAATACTTTGTAAAAACATTACTACCAGCAACAAACTTTTGAAAAAAAAGATATTACCGTTAATAAAAATTTTGTCGGCATTAAATAACCCTTTGGTTGATATGCATTAAAACAAACCAAACCAAACCAAACCAAACCAAACTTATTTCTTTGGTTTTCTTGACACAGATCATCGTCCAGTCTTCTGTAGTTACCAGGTATCTTTGAAGACTGATTGTTTTGTAAGACAGTTCTAATTGAACTCATCATCTGCCACCTTCAGATCTGGGTATATACAGGCGATCAAAATCAGCTTTAGGATGATGCATGCGGTGGTAAGTAAGAATCTGTTTCTTTGAAACAATCATTCATTTAATATCTGTTATTATCCAATTAAGGATGTTGAAACTGTATCGCATTTCAGGTATAGTTATGGCTGATATTATTTTTTTTTAATATAACTCTGTATTTAACATCAGACGCATACGCCTGTGGTTACGATGTGTAGGCTTAAAAAGATCAGATTTTATTGTTGCTGCACGGGACGAATTATTATTATTATTATTATTATTATTATTATTATTATTATTATTATTATTATTATTATCATAATACTAGCAGCATGGCCCGGCGTTGCCCGTGCTTGATTCAAAAATAGTACGACTAATACAGCAATCGCTATCACTTGACTTAAAATATTTTTGCCATTCCTTGCCTTTAGAGGAGTGCTCTTTGCCATACTGATGTTGTTACATGCCTTACTTCTTGCCTATATCACACTGCGATTTTTTTCTAAGCTCTATAGTAAACATTAAATCTGTTACGAAAAAAGTACTAAACAAAATAAACACAATACCATCAGCTTTAAAAACCCGGAAAAAACATTTTTAAGGGTTGACCGATTGTCGATTTGCACTCTGTTTGTGGGGGGGTGCTCAGAGTTGAAACTTCACATGATGACTCCCAATGGCCTCTTCATAAATCAGCTCGGTTTTCGCTAAAAACCGACATGCGGTTCAGACGCAATCTGGGCGTATCGGTTTTTGGGTTTTATCGATTTTCCGCGCTGTTTAGGGGTCCGTGGTCATGAAACTTCTGGACAACACTTGTCAAATTTGGTTGAAATGCGATCATTCCTTCTGTAAGCAGAATTTTTTCGATTATCGATCTTTTCGATCATCGATTTTTTCGGAACCTGATTCCGAACTCAAAAATCGGGCTCCGTCATGTCCTTACGGCAGCTATTTGCAAACATGTGTTGAAAACCGCATCGAAATCGGGTGAGAAATGCGGCCTGGGCGAGGTAACAACGCCCACGACAGACACACAGACAGACAACATGAGAAATATAGATAGTAGATTATTATTATTATATTACCTTCCGGGTCCCAACCAGAGACGTAAGGGCAGAAATGGTTTCATGACATTTTCCACTGATCATTTTTGTAAAAAAGCAAAAAAAAAAAAAAAAAAAATTGCCTAAGATCACCCACATTTTACATAGGTAAATTATTCGTAATGTGCGAGCTGTACCTGTGAATGCATTTTTTTTTTTTTGTATTTCTTTAAAACATGGTCTACCAGGAATCCGTTCAGGGAGTCTATCGGTCAGTGTTAACAATGGGCAACCTGATACAAGAATTTCTTTTTTCTGGATATTTATCACAGAATCTGTATTTGGGTCAACACATATTTTTATTATTAATAATATTAATATATTTCGCTTTCTGTTAAATACATTCTGTTTTCTCGGACATGAACAGAGAACGGGTGTAAAACATGTCATAATATATATGCATTCTGTTTGGAAAGCTGTGATGTTATGTATAATCTTTTCGTTGATAATACTCTCTTGATTCTATGAGCAGTTCCACACACATCAAACTTTTAATCGATTTTTATAAAAGACTGCCAAAGAATGTCTTTTATTGCAATTTTTTTATCTTACCCAAGATTCCAATTATTAAACTTATCATAGGAGATTTAAAATGTCACGTTTTTATTTCTTCATTTAAATTTCAAGATATTATAAAACAGATATTGCATTATTTTGGCATCATGTTCTTTAACAGGTATATTATTATTCTTGTTGTTATCATTATTCTTGTTGTTATTATTGTTGTTGTTGTTATTATTATTATTAGTAGTAGTAGTATTAGTAGTAGTAGTAGACCTGTCATTAATCATTGAGTTTCCGTAGCAGTGATAATATGTGGCTATCACTGGCGATGTAGCCATGGCAATTATTCACGAGGATTTTAAGTTATTTTGTTGTTACTAGCGTGGGAATGGTCTTCCTTTGATTAGTCTTTGAAATCTTGGCTCTTTCAAGCGTTCCTGTAATGAAGGACACAACTGCTACTTTCATGTTCAATAATTTCTTCATCTCTATCACATCCTATCTCAGGGAAATTTCCTCCTCTTTCACCATATTGTGAAGATTTCGTTTTCTGACTTGGTTTGGGCGTTTCCTTTGAAGTAGAAAGTTTTTGTGAATTTTCTGTCACTACCACTTAATATATATATATATATATATATATATATATATATATATATATATATATATAGATAGATAGATAGATAGAATGAATGAAAGAAAAAACAACAAAAGAAAAGAAAGAAAGGAACAAATATAGCGTAAAAATAGCAAAAAAGAAAGAGAAATGCAATAAAGAAACGAATGAAAAGAAAGAAAAGTACTATATATATATATATATATATATATATATATATATATATATATATATATATATATACACTAAGGATCACCTAATAAAGTTAGACTGTCGTATGAAAATAAAAAAGTTATTAGTAAAAAATGAAGATTACGTTTGACACGTTTTTTCGGTTTGGAGGTTATTTAAAGCCAGAAAATATTTTCAGATTGTAAGATTTCCTTGGAGATAATAATCATTTAGTAATATACATCTTACTAATTAACC